TCTCTGCCTCTCTCCTCCCTCTCTGGGTTGCCATAGGCTGGCTTCCAAAATCCAGATAGCCATATCTGCAAACTATGCAAACCATGTGATTGGTCCCAAAAGGGTCAACAAGCAAATAACATTTTAAACTTTACTTTTTAAAAAAAACAACCTGGGGCCTCTCCTTTCTCCTCCCACTGAGCCTCAACCCACTCACACCATCTCTTCAGCATTTTAAAGGGACACAGGCAAATGCCACACCTCATTTCAGCAAAAATGCAGATATTTGAGGAGAGTGGTGTCACTCTCCTTTAGGGTGTTACCTGGTGTGGTCTGCACTCCCAGCACACCCCTGGAGCCATGGCAGTTAAAGTGGTGTCAACTTGGATTATTTCTGTAGTGCGGATGCAGCCTTAGAAGCCTTCATCCCCCCTCCTCCTCCTTCCATTTTTTTTTCTGTCCTGGAAGGAAAGGAAAAAGCAAGGAGGAAGCTTGGAGCCTCTGCCTGAAGAAGGAGGAGGAGGAGATGGTGGTAGTGTTGGTGGAGGAGGAGAGCTATTTCCTTATAAAATGTTAAAATATGAGTATACTTGAATGTGTGCGTGAAAATATGCACTTTAAATATTTTTATTCATAATAATATGTCAAGCAGGGGGGCACAACATCTACAAGTGAATTTAAAAGGGTCATAAGGGTAAACAGCTTGAAAACCATTGTCTTAAACTTGTTGCATATAATGCAGGGGACAACATGCAGAGATCAAGGTGTTTTGTATACTCCATGTTCTTGTGTGTGTGTGTGTGTGTGTGTGTGTGTGTGTTGGGTTTTTTTTACTACCTGTCACCACCTTTTGTCTTCACAGAGCTCCTATGCCTTTAACAGCTGTAAAAGATACCAATGTTCAGCAGAAATAACTTTCCTAGGAATTAGGTTTCCACAAAGTCTGGAATCCTTCATGAAACATCTAAAATTACCTAACCGATTACCTACTAACCATGGACATCCTCTCCACATTTATTTGAATAGCACTTTTCAATAGTAAAGCCATGTTCAAAATGGCTTATAGTAACATCAAAGCTTTTTTTAAAAAAAAAGATATTCTATAATACAAAATAAAAAGTTGGGATAATTCTATAGCAATCACAATTCCAAGCTTCCCTAATCATACAATAAGCTAAATTGCTTACAGAAATAAACATACACTAAGTTTAAACAATCTACTAATAATTCACACTAAGGTCAAATCTCTTTAAAAGGAACACTAAAAGAGAAAGAAAAAGCAAGAGATAAATCCTAACAGCAGCCTTTATATCTAGAGTCCAGCATAATTATTGAGCAAGTATAGAAAACATGTTTTGTATACCTTAGAATAAACTTTTAAACAGCTGAATGATTAGTACTGATAGTATACAGAAATGACAGAATTAAATAATGCCTCCACAGAGTACATTTGCTCTGAGAAAGGAACTGGTTTCTATTTTTAAAAATAGATATGAGGGCCAGATGTCCCTGAAAAGGACAGTATGACACCACTTTAAGTGCTGTAGCTCCATCCCATGGAATCCTGGAATTTATGGTTTTACAAGGTCTTTAGGCTTCTCTGCCAAAGATTGGCAGTGCCTCACAAAACTACAGCCCCCGGGATTCTGTATGATGTGTCAAACTACATTATTACTACAGTGCTACTTTAAAAAAATCAATTAGGGCAAAGCTATACATGGAGAATGATAGATCACTGAGTTCAAAGGGATGTACTCCTAGGTAAGCAGATGTGAGATGGATTGCAATCTAAAAAACAAGATAACCCTGGATGAGGATTTTACTCCCACCCAATTCTCTTTTCCCTCCACCCCTCCCCACACACATACAAACACTAACTTTCTGTTCCCAACAGAGATAAAATAGAAAATGCTATTATCTAAGCAAGAAAGAGAAGACACGATGCGCAAGCGAGGAAGCAAATTTATCTCTCCCTTCAACATCATAAACTCTGTACAGATATATATGTATGTATGTATGTAAGTATGTATGCTTAGGATTCAGACTTTGGGATTAAACATGAGGAGGGCTGTTCCAGCAATAGAAAGATCAAAAATCAACAATTTTGTAGCTCATAATCTCCATAGGCTTTTGAAAATCAGTTGGAAGCATTTGGATCAAACTTCACAGCTTCCTGTTTCTTTAAACGCCTTCCTACCCTTGATGATACCTGTTATTCCAGTTGGCTCTCTTACTCCATTGGAGCCTGATATCTGCCATCTAAGAACTCAATGTCCAAGATGACAAATAACTGGATCCTAGAACAGATCAAGCTTGACTTCTCCTTGGAAGCCAAAGGTCTTTGCAGATGCCAGAAATAGTGCAAATTGAGTCCATTTTAACTG